ATACACACACATCCTGTACGCTGGGTGTGATGTGATGGGATTCCAGAGCTTCTTATCAGGCACACATTTCTTTTCCCTCTGATTTTTTTCGTTTACTTATCCTGACAGAGAGGGAAGGAGGGAGGGAGAATCCCAAGCAGGATGTGGGGCTCAAACTCATAAACAGGGAGATCACGACCTGAGCCAAAGTCAAGAGCCGGACGCTTAACCCATTGAGCCACCCAGGAGCCCCTCCCTCTGATTTTAAATCCATATTTAAATCATGCTTGGGGAAGTCATTTACTGGATTCCCTCAGGCTCCTGGTAGAGAGTATATGAGATCCTTGATAAGCTTAATATATTTGTATTAAAAATTAATAAGAAAGCTATTGTTTGCAACTTTAAATCATAATTTGATTCAACCTATTTAATATAAGACCACAATTTTAAAATTACTCAAAAAAAAAAAAAAAGACGTGATGAGATTTAAATCAGTCCTGGGCCCCTGCCTTTATTCCTGAATGAACCACGCATGTCCTGTGGCAGACAATCAGTGCTGCCATTTCTCGTGTGACATTTAGAGTCCATACATGGCCCAGCAGCCCCCCTTGGAGGCTCCAAACGAGTCCTCTGTGGAAGATGATGTGGAGGCTCTTTTTAAATGCTACTATTATAAAAATAAAATTTAATGGAAAGAGATAAGCTTTTCCCAGCACAAGCCGGCTCCAATTTTATATTTCCTTAATCTGTTTTATATACTGCTGCAGGAAATTAAACTAAAATTGTCCTTTCTGTCTGATGTGCGCATGTGTGGGAGGGGCTGAGGGGACACACAGAGCTACAGGAAACGGCTGCTCCGGTCTGTCAGGGATTTACTGTAACTTTATTTGGGAGGGCAAAGCCCCACTCACCCACTGGGCTGAAGGTTTGTGGCCCCCGTAGAGATCTGGGCCCACAGCCACACGGTGCTCCTGTCTTACGTCAATGAGGGCTGACGCCCAAGACGAGGACCAGATCTCTTCTATCACCAGGTCTGAGTCCCCACTCACTCCCTGTCCACCCAGAGTGACCGGTCCTTCACACAAATACAGAGGGCGGGCTCTGACATACTTTGCACATACTGAATGCTATTTCTTTCTTTCCTTTCTCTCTGGTTCTCTTCCACTCCAGCCGTCCCTCATAATTGTAACGCCTACTTGTTTATTGTACTTCTACTCAGTTTCACCTTCTAGACAAATGATGCAGACGCTCTTTCAGTATCTTCCAGTCGGTCCGGTGCCCCAGCTATACCCGTTCGCTCTCTGCTTCCAGCCCCCCGTGGACAAAATCTTCTAATCTTAGTGTCTCAAATCTTGTACATAATGTCCGGGGGTTGCCCCCTGCCCCTGCCTTTGCTTCCCTTGCTGCGTTCACCAAGAGCATCTTGACTGGGAGATCCCTCTAGATGTCTCAGAAGCCATGTCTGGGTACAGGGGAACCTCTGGTCCCCCCCTCGGTCATGAAGACTGGCTTCAGGTGGAGGCTGCACAATGCAGCCACGGAGTGAACATCGGCTCGCGTCCTGAGAGCTGGCGCCCACCCTGCACCCGCGAGTCAGGCCACGACGTGACTGGACCAGAGGGTCCTCACGGCCCTTCCATAAGGAAGCAGGCACGGAGGTGTGGCAGTGAAGTCTGGGGAAAGCCAGGCAGCTTCCCCTTCCTTCCTGGGGCTCTGTGATTCCAGGACGGCTGCAAGCCTCCTACTGGCGCTTGGGCACGTGTCCTAAGCAGGTCTGTCCCTCTCATGAACAGGAAGACTCTGGATCAGCCACAATTAACCTCAGCTCCTGAGGAACAGACCTTATTTCTAAAGCTGGAAGGGGGAAGAAAGTGCAAATGATGGCTGGAGGAAAGGCAGAAAGGAGGGAAGATTGCAGCCCACAGTGTGTGAAGACGTGCACATCAACCTCACCTTGTCAGAGGAATACGAAGATGACATTTGTCATTTAGCCAGAGTTGTCTCTGGCTGACCCACAGCCCATCGGGGCATCCTCCTGGGCAATAAGGCCAGGGCCTCGTCCGGCAGAGGGCCTCCATGAGGCGCCAGGGAGGAAGTGAGCCGTCCCAGGTTAGGCCTGACCTTTCTCTGGACCACACGTTAGTGGGGCAGGGCAGAGGGTCATTTCCCTTTAAGCAGAGAGGTGTTCAGGCAGTGCTTCTGGCCCACTCACCTTCCTCTGCCAAGTAGAAGGGATGGGAACATCCCAGAGCTTTCAAGTAAGACGCTTTCCCGTCAAAGACTCGAAGCATCTCTGTGATCTCTCATTGCAGTCCTGCTTTCAGGCCGCTTTCCACCTCAGACCTTAAGGTGTCTAGACTGACTGAGGACCCAGAGAGGAGCCCCAGTGGGGGGAGGGGAGGGGGATGAAATGGGACACCTTTGTTCCCAGAATGGTCTCAAACATTCGTTTTTGATCCTCCATCCGGAGGGATCTCACAGAGCTTGGCTGCCGGCAAGGTGGGGCTGCCTCCACCACCTCCCACCCAAGGCCAGACCCACTCAAGTTAATCAGAACCTTCTGGGTTTCCCAGCTGGGATGTCACCGGGTGACGGGACTGCCCGTCGGCAGGGTCGTGTCTGGACTCCATGATGAGCACTGCTCTCCTTCAGGCTGGAGACCAGAGCCCAAGCTGGCGGGTCCTCCTCTTGCTGTCTCTTTCCTCTCTCTCCCCGCAGCTGCATTCAGACCCCTCTGCCTGCCTGTTTTCCTTTATTACTGTGCAGGGGACGTTTTTAAAGAGGCCGGAATGAGAAGCCAGGAGCACAGGCTGAAAGCATTTCCGGGCCTGGCCGCTTTGCTTCTCCGGGTGTAGGTTTCCTCCCCCACAGAACGAAGGGGTCTGAGGATGCGACCACTTTGCTTCCGGTTTTTGTCTCTAGCTGCAAAGGTCTTCCTACCCGGGAATCCCTAGGAATTGATCTTAAGCAAATATTCAGCAAAGGCAAAAAGTGTCGTGAGTTGGAAGATCTGTATCCTATCATTTTTTTGTCAAAAATTGAAAGTGATCTGAATTTCCAAGAGTAGCTTAGTGACTGATGGTCTGTAAACATGATAGAATTAATTGCACACAACCATTAAAATGGTAATGATGCTGGCTATAAATTAACATTGAATAATAAAACGCTGCTAGTGTTTGTTAAGAGTGCACTGTATGTCATTCTCAACCCCAAGGGCACATCAGAATCCCCTGAAGCCCCAGCCTCACCCTCCCCCCCAGAGGCCAGGTTTTGGTTAATCCTGTGTGTGTGGGGTCTGGGCGTTAGGGTCTCTTGAGAGGCTCCCTGGTTGATAATACTTTCCAACCAAGGCTGAGAGCCTGTGTGAAGACACGTCCACATTCAGTACAATGGACCTGTGCCCCCCTCCCCTTTCCTGCCAGCCCCCTACCGGGTGGTGCACGAGGACAGGGTTTCTAATTTATTTACTGCATAAATATCATTGCTCTGTAACAAACCATTCCAAAGCTGAGCAAATATTCCAAAACTATTCCAAAGTTCCAACCACAACTTTACCATGATCACAGATTCTGTGGGTCAGGAATTCAAACAGATGACAACAGGAGCAGCTGGCCCTTTTCCTTCAACGTCTGGGGTTTCAGCAAGGAAGACGGGAACCTGGATGTCTTCTGGCTAGCGGCTGGAGTCACCTGGATGCTTTCACCCAACCTGGGGCTCAAACTCATGACCCTGAGACCAAGAGTTGCATGCTCTTCCAGCTGAGCCTGCCAGGCACCCCTGAACACTTCTTTATGCCAATTTCTGGTGTCTAGGCCCGGAGGACCTGAAAGAGGGGTTCGGCGAGGACCGTCTACCAGAGCACGTACACGTGGCCTCTCCGTGGGCCTCCTCACAGCATGGCGACTCACGGCCCCAGGAGCAAACACACTGGTGAACGAGGCAGAGGCTGCACGGCCTCTTTAACCTAGTCCTGGAAGTCAAAAGCATTCCTTATACTGTTCTCACTGAAGTGGTCACAAGCCCACCCAGATTTCAGAAATATTATGGAGGCTGAATTGAACATGGGGAGTGAAAGAAGCGATTGTCCAAATGCTGACACTGTAATATGACATGAAAAGAATACAAAAATATGTGTACATCATAAGCCCAGTGCGTATAGATGAGAACTGAATGCAGCATGCAAAAATGAAATTTTAAGGTGATGGCAGCATAGAATCTCATCTTTAATACCACTTAATTATTTTTAGTTTTTATTCTTAAACCTAACCACCCACAACCCCCTGCACTAACAAGCCCTGAAGATCATTGTTGGACACCACACCTGGCACTACTCATTGGGAGTGTGCCGTCTACAGACACATGTAAAATTCACCCTGCCCCTTACTGCATGGCTTGGAGAATCACAGTACTGCTCACGCTGCAGACCACGGGTTCTCCACGCCCAAGTATCGTGGGAAAGAGATGAGCAGGCAGGGGCCCACCTACTTTTGGATCAAGATGCTATCGGGCAGACTGGGGAGACACCGAGCCCTGAGGCCTCCACCCGGCCCATCCGCACAGTGTTGCCAAAGGCTATGGGTCTCATCACAAGAAAGAATTCAAGGATATACCAGACACAGTGGTTGAGAGGTGCAAGTAGGAAAGTTTGTTAAAGGGAGTGTTTGCTCTCAAGATGTGAGTGCAAGTGAGCTCAAGAGAGAGCTGCGTGCCCCGGAGTTTGGATCTCCATCTTTATTGACCGTTGTTAACTAGAGGGTGGAATACTTTTTACTTGAGGAGGGGATTTCTTGGGAGCAGGATTTCATGCCTTTTCTCCCTTAGTCAGCGTTTCAGCCTTCTTTGTCTTGGGCCTATCTGGTTAGATCCGGCTTCCTGTGGCTTTGTTTTGGAGTGGTGCAGACAGGTCTCTAACCGCTGCCCCCAAGAGCTGGCCATGACTCCCGTTTTGTGGGTCTCCAGGCATCCTGTTGAAACCTAACTGTCTACCCTAACATAATCTGTCTTCTTTCTTTTTCCAATAGGCTTTTGACATTATGAGAGTGACACACGGCAGAGAGCACAGCCTGATTGAAGACTTGATCCTCCTCTTAGAAGAATGTGACGCCCACATAAGAGCATCCTAAGGGGCACAGGCAAAGATGGCTCATACCCATATCGAATGCCTGGTGGAGGTCACATGTGCCGCACTGTTTGTGGGCCTCCCCTCTGGGAATGCTAGGCTGTGTTTATGTAGGTAAATAAGCAGGCATACCATGTGCAAACCACAAGAATCATTAGTTGTAGAGAAGCACAATAATAAATACAAAAAAAGTGGTTGAAAATGTCATCTGCTAATTGTTTTGTTTACTCGTTGGTGACTTTAATGTTCCACATCTCAACATGAAGGCTAGAAAGTTCTAGTAAAAGCATAGCAGTGTACGTTGAATCTCCTCCTTGAATATCTGGGGGGATAACTGGATAAAAATCAATGTTTTTACAAGCAAAAACTTAATGTCCATTTTGTCAAAAAAGCAGAATGTTTTCTTTACTGTTTGTAGTAAATGATAATATGTATCCATTATTTACACCCCAATACATCTCTAACACAGAAAGTTTTATCCTAGGTCCTAGAAAGAAGTCATTTTAGGTGCTATTAGAAAAGCATAGGAAGTCTTAATGGGAAAAAAATGTTTTTTTCAAATGTCTTGGGTTCTTTGTATAATTCTTCTGTGCATTCTGTAACTCTGTATATGTCATGTTTTTTTAACTTGGAAATTTTTTCTGTAATTCCCTCCATCTGTGGCTTGACCATGTGACGTGCATGCCACGAAGCTCCCTCACCCTGCACCCCAGCTCACATCAGGTTTGTTTTTGCTTCCTCCTATTTCCCAATCCCATGGCTGCTTTTCCACCTTTCTGCATTAGACAAATTCAGAAAAAAAGGTGGTTTGTTTTATGGCTCCGTGACCCTGTGAGCAGTTCAGTCCCTCCTGGTTGGACGGGGCCCGGGCAGGAGTTGCAGCCCTTGGTTCCGGCGGCTGCGGGCATTCTTAGGGAGGCCCCAGTCAGCCACACCTTATTTTACAAGCCAGGAAAGGAGCTACTTACTGGGAGTTGTGGCCTGGCCCCTCACACAGGGAGAGACAAGGCTTCCAGCCACATGGCCACGGCAGGCGGCAGAGAAAGCTGGCCACTGGAAGCTGGAATCTGCTTGCCCAATGCCTGGCAATTACTCTGACCATGGAAACGTGCTCAGTATCGGGCTTGCTGGTGCACTCTGTACCTTTCTGTCAGCTGGCCTCTGCCCCAGCCACAGGCAAGTATCAAGCCTTATCTCCAGGGCACACAGGATCTCCAGTAACCACAGTAGCACAACACAGTAGGTATTCTGAAGCCCATTTTATAAGAAAACAGAGGCCCAGCGTCGGTGCTCTGGAATCCTTCCTAATTTACTAAGTCACCTTGAGAAAGTGGCTTCATCTCAGTCTTTATGAACAACCAACTCTACCCAATTCAGCAAATACATATTGGATAGTTACTGTGTGTTTAGGAAAAGGCAATACAAAAACAATAAGTTATGCCCCTTGTTCTCAAAATGCACACTCTCTGGTGTAGTATTTGTGTCCATTAGCTTTTACTGTGTAACACGCTTAGTGGCTCAAGATAACACTTATTCACGATTCTGTACGTTAGCAGTTGAGCTATACAGTTCTGGTCTGGCCCAGGCGTGGCTGATCTTGGCTGCCTACACCACCGTCTGCAGTTGCAGGTGGGTCGGCTGGGGAAACAGGGGTGACTGAGGCTTGTAGCTCCCCGGGTTAGCCCAGCCTTGTTCCCGGGGCAGCAGGGTTCCAGGAAAGGTAAGCAGGCAAGCCCCAATGTGCAAGCACTTCTCGTAACTGCTTGTGTTGCATTTGCCAATATCCCACGGGCCAAAGCCATTCACAAGGCCGGCCCAGAGTCTGGGGTGGGGAGAGCCTCTTCTCTCAGTCATCCAATCGCAAGGTGTGGAAAGAGAGGGAGGTATTGTGGCCATCTATGCAATCCATGTTATAGAACTTTGAGTGAATTGGATGAAATTCATAGACCTTTCCAGAAACCCATGTACATATATATGAACAATTTGCTTTTAGGATCAGGGACTCTTGAGCTCCCTGTGGTCCATCAGCAGACTCCCTGGAGTCCTTCGCCTAATGAGAAGTAGATTTGCTACCTTTCAAAAGCACTGATGGGAATTACATTGGCTCGTCATTTTAAATTCATTAGGGAAAGAAAAAAGCTGTAACAGAAGGTCGGGGTAGGAACTCACGTGCCAAATGAGCAGAGTTCGCTGATAGAACCCTGTGTTTGCCAATTTTCTGAAATTTATCAGTGATGATCCTGGATAAGGAGATTTGCCCTCACGCCTCCTCGAAAAAGCATGACAAGCTTTTAAATCCCTCTCAGCTCACTTCCCGTTGTCTGAGAGAAGGGCCCCTAAGAGGGAGGGGCCCTGCTTGCATCAACTTTAATAGAAAGCAAACATTTAAGCAATGGTAAATGTTTACCCAACATCTTTACAGCAAAATAACTTTGGAGAAGGGGGAAGGGGATGGAGAACATAATTTAAAATCTGTGTCACCAGTGGCTGACGATTTATTGCCGCCCCAGCCTCCAGGACTGCTATTCCATTAATCCATAGATTGTAGCGGCAGGCTTTTTTCACATCAGTAACTTGACGCCATTAGTTGTTCCTCTGGGATAAGAACACATTTAAACTGAAAATGAACACACTGGGCATAATTTATGGCCATGCCATATGAATGCCAAGAGTACAGGCAGGACGGCTGCCTGGAAGGCCTGCTCACCCTGGGAGCTCAAGGCGGCCTTCCTCTAGCCGGGCAGGAATGCAGGCAGCAGAGAGGGCGGCCACAGTGTGGCGAGGCCAGACAGCCACAAACCACAGAGGTCCCTCCGTCAAGCTTCACAGCGGGAATGAGAGAGACAGTCCTGCGTGGGGGCCCTCCCCTGAGCTCTGTCTCGAGTATTCTCTTCTGGCCCAATCAGGAAACGATGTGACACTCAGAGTAGCCCACAAGCGAAATTCCTGAGTCAAGGGTAAACGCATATGTGAAATACTGTGGCATTTACCTTGAGCCGGTTGTATGACAATGCCTGCCTCCCCTCAGTCTTGACAACAGGGTGGGTTTTTCAGCTTTTGAATGTTGTGCTAAGCTCATGGGTGAGAAATGGTATCTCAATGTACTTTTAATTTTCTTATTGGCGAAGTTTGATGTCTTCAAATATTTAAAAGCCTTTTGTCTAACTTTCTGTGAATGCTATTTGCCTGTCTTTTGTCCAATTTTCTATCAGACTGTTGTGGGTTTTTTTTTTTCCTTTTCGTCTTTTTTCCCTCATCTTTAGTCGTTTCTATATTAGGAAGATTTTCCCTTTATCTGTAATATTTCATCTCTCAGTTTGTCACTTGTTTTTTGACTTTTCTTTAATATTTTGCCCTGAGTTCCTTTGGATAGCATTTTCAAAAAGGCATTTCATAAGAAATCTACTCTAGGGTAAGCCGGGGTCCTATTGTAAAGTTAAGCACCATGAAGCCTCCTCAAATGGTTCCTGATTCTTAGCTGTTCCTGAGTTGAGTTGATATTTTAAAAAATCATTCTTCTCCAACATTCTGGCATCTTCCTGTCTTCAGCCAGCACCTTGCCTGGTCAAGGTTCTTCACCTGGTGGAAGTTCAGTTTATCATTCCTGAACTCTCTTGACACTTAATGGTCTTGCCATGTTGGGATGCCTCAATCTTCCATTAAACTGATTTACTTGTTAGAGAATCCCCTGGTTCAGACTTGGTCCACCCCACTATATAGCAGCAATTAGAGATTGGGATTCAGTCAATTCAACCAGAATAGTAATCTGCTTCTTTGTCTTTTGATTCAGAGGCATGATGAGTCCAAATGGCCATAAGGCAGTCTGTCCATGATTATGGAGCCACTGTTGTATTCCCTGGAGGAATCATTTCTCCTTTAGAAACCTAGACATATAAACTAGCAGATCAAAAAGTCACAGGGCTAGGAAGCAAAAATTCCACAAGTGCATTATTAACTGTAATTGTGAGAGAAAATGATTTACAACCCTTTTTAAAAATATGTGCCAACATAGCATATTAAAAGTAAATATAGAGGGGCCCCTGGGTGGCTCAGTCAGTTAAGTGCCCGACTTGGGTTCAGGTCATGATCTCACAGTTCATGGGTTCGAGCTCTGCATTGGGCTCTGTGCAGATAGCTCAGAGCCTGGAGCCTGCTTCAGGTTCTTTGTCTCCCTCGCTCTCTGCCCCTTCCCTGCTCACGCTCTCTCTCTCTCTCAAAAATAAACATTAAAAATTAAAAAATATATATATATAAAGACTGGAACTCTCCCAATTGTGCTTCCCATGAATACTTTCATAGGACCTACTGGGTGACTGATTTCTCTAATTTTCTTTTTTAAGTATATTTATATTTTTTATTGTAGTTGACATGCAATGTTACATCAGAGGTATACAACCCAGTGATTTAACAACTCTATACATCTGCTATGCTCACCACAAGTATAGATACCATCTGTCACCACATGCTATAACAATACCATTGACTCTATTACTTATCCCATACCTTTCATCTCTGTGACTTATTAATTACATAACTGGAAGCCTGTACCTCCCACTCCACTTTACCATTCTGTTCATCTCCCCACCTACCCCCCTGGAAGCCACCCATTTATTATCTGTGTGGGCTTTTCTGCTTTTTGTTTATTTGTTTTGTTTTTTACATTCCACATATTAAGTGAAATCATATGGTGGTATTTGGGTTTTTGGTATGAATTATTTCACTTAGGATAATATGAAAAGATCTCATTCTTTTTCATGGCTAAGTCATATTCCATGTGTATGGGCACGCACATGCCATTCCTCTTTACCCATTCATCTATCACTGAATACTTAGGTTGCTTCCATATCTTGGTTATTGTGAATGATGCTGCAGTAAACATAGGGGCGCATGTATCTTTTGAATTACTGTATTCATTTTCTTTGGATAATTACCCAGGAGTAAAATTGCTGGATCATATGGTATTTCTACTTTTAAGTTTTTTTTAGGAAATTCTATACTGTTTTC